TGCAATATTCATTGTGCTTGCAGAATACCGATATTCGGATGGAATAACAGACAGGATTTGTTTGTTTGTTTATTACTAACCCGGGTTCCGTCCGTTTTCCTGTAAACGATCCATTGTCCATCCTTCTGGTATTGAATTTCGTACTTCGTTGCCCATCTTAAGTCCTTTTTGCTTCCCTGCGTCTTAATCAAAGTAAGAAACTTTTCCTCGCTCAGCAGTATTTCTATGTAGGTCAGATTGTCGGTTGGAGCCGAGCACCAGGCCCCCTGCACACTGTCAAGGCGCGCAAGGGAAGGAACATGGTTTAGACTTAATTGCGACGATGCTGTGATGCTGCTGTCTTGAATTTTCTTGTTGTGCATTCCCAGGACGGCATTGCACGCACCTTTCAAAGGAAAGAGCCGAATTTCAGCGTTAAACGCCTTTGTTTAGATCAGAGTTCGGATGTTCGAGGCGAATCCATATCAATGAACAGATGTGTCCCAATTTATACAGAAGTGGCAGCATACACTGACAGGGACCTCAGGGATCTGACCATGACACTTGGCAGATTCAACGAAACATTCAAATTTCTAAGGACAAACGCCGCCGAATTTAATCTTTCCTTCCCTTATGCCTATATGCCAAAATGCGCCAAGGTGACGCTTATAGGATAAAACAGAGTAAACGTTGCTGGGAGAAACCTGACAATAAGTTTTGAAACTTACAAACTGATTTTCTGGCTCACCCCCACGCGTTCGTAGTCACGTTCGTTAAACTATTTTAAGCATTCATTCAACAAATAAAAAACTGCCATCTTCTACCCCTTTTTAATTTGTTATCGAATACTTTTATTTAGAGAGATGATCATAACAACGCGCACAATGTGTGGCCGAGCTCTGAAACTAAGAAGCTTATTTTTAATCTTAAATTTTATGTTTTTGCTATGGAAAATTAATTGAGGTTTTGTGAATTGTTTTGAGGTTGACGTCGCCTTTGAAAGATTCCAAAACATACTTCGTTTTGTGGTTTGTAGAGATAAGCCTTGAGGATGACTACCAGACTGTACGGAAATGACCCACCTGTACATTTGAAAGGCAGCACGGTCCACGAACCAAGGAAACACATTTGAGTTGCTATCCCTTCTTGGTTGTAACCTTCATTACATTTGAATGTGACTCTATAACCAGAATGGTATTTATTGCTCGGATTTGAAATCCTCGCGTTTATAGGAA